TTTTGATCGTCTTGTACAAATTGCACAACAGAGCAATCATTAAATATAAATTAACACTACATATTGACAAGTAAATTGTTATGTATTGATAAATACTAATAGTATTTTTAAGAAATATGTTGTATAATTTAACAAGGCAAGCTTATTATTTTTTTTTCATATCTACAAAGAAATTATATTTGTATCATATGTGTCAGTCATCCCTAAACAAAAAATACTTTGACAATGACCTACATCGAGCTTATTCTTTTGTGTTTGAAATAACTTTTATCAATAAAACAGTTTTGTTTGCATAATTTCATGTAGGTACATCAATAAATCCATAGCCTAATGACAGAAAAAAACATTTATTTTGCAAAAGAAACATCTTTCAACAAAATTTTCTTTGTCACTGACAAAATCTTCTTTGTCACTTAATCACAAAGACAGAACATTATACAGTGAAAATTTCAGATCAAAATTCATGCTATGGAGTTATTGATACATTTTCATATGTATCTATCTGTTATATATATATATATATATATATATTGAACAATAACAAATATTAAAAAATTAAAATCTTCAGACACACTCAGTTGTAGATTAATATTCTTTCGTTTTTTTTTATTATTATTTCATTTAGATTCCTTGACTAGTTTTGGCCAAAATGGCCATCATCAGGAGAAGAAATATTTCTGCTTGCTGGTAGAAGTGAACTACAGAAATGAATGTCATGAATGTTGGTAAAGAAAAATTTTCTTTTTGTCTTTATTTATATATATATAGTCGACTCTCCCGTCGAATTCGACGTATGAGGGTCAAGCAGATCAGTTTCCAGGAAAGCGACAGCCCGACAACAACATATGAGATTTGATTATAGTGGTGAAGGTTTCGTACAGGACCAGCCACACTTTTTGAAGGGCCGAATTCAGAGACCTGGTGCACTAAGTGCCACAAGGCCCCCAAACGACCCTCCGCAGGTTTTGAATTCAGCGTTGTCCTTCTCCTAGACCAGTTGCCATCCAAGGCTATAGAACCCAGTCTGCCCTACTATTTACTCATAGCTGGAGGGAGAAGAAGAGGATTAATACCTTTCCCAAGGTAATGGATTCGACTGGAATTCGAACTCGGCTCTGCGATTCGTCAATCGAAGTCGCTATCAATTACTCCACCGTGCCTCCTATATATATATATATATATATATATATATATATATATATGAAGAAAAATATACTGAAAAAACAAACAAAAATCCTAATATGCGATAGTTTTAATGTTTAATGTCAATGTCAGACGTTTCGGTCTAATAGACCATCTTCAGGACATATTCATAAAACATAATTAACATAGACTATATGCAATTCAACATGAAAAAGACAATGGACTTTGTCGACTGCATTGTATCGTAAGGTCAGTTAGGCACCATCCATGAGAAAAAAAAGCACCACGACACAATTTCATTCTGCCAGAAATTTCAAGCAGTACAACAGGACGTTGTACCGCTTGGTATTCATGCCAGAAGCTCCAATACAAACATTTCAGACTGTTTGAGTGTCACTCTGAGGACAGTGCAGAGGATCTGGAAAGAGTTGGATGAGTCTAATAGTGATTACGAAGCTACAGCAACTCGGAAAACTCACTCTGATTGTTTTGATAAGAAAAGAATACCTGAATTGGTGAGGGCCTCAGACTCAACACAGAGGTTTACGTCAAGTGCCTTGAGGGGGTAGTGCTGCCCTGGGTCAAGAGGATGGCTGCTGGAAGACTCTATGTCTGGCAACAGGACTCTGCACTATGGTGCAAAAGCAGGAGAACTCAGGCAACTCAGAGGCTGTCAGAAAATTCTGTGACCACATCACCCCTTTCATCTGACTAACTACCCAGACTGCAACCCCCTTGATTATTATGTGTGGGGCACAGTTGAGCAAGAGACCAACAAAACTCCTTGTAACACTAAAGATGAACTGGAGGCAAGCATTATGGCAGCATTCACCAACTTAAACAAGGAGACCGTCCAAAAGAGTTGCAGGAGATTCAAAAGTTGCCTGGAGGTTGTGGTTGAAGCCAATGGAAACTTTATTGAATAAATTTAGTCTTAAGTACTTCAAGATATTTTTGTGCAATATTGGTAAATATATCTGTTAAAATGAAATGTCAGTGTTATCTTCCTTTTTGCATAATTTAGATGATAATTTAGCCATCGCACCTGTGTGTGTATATATATATATATATATATATATATATATATATATATATATATATATATAATTATAATTATTTTTTTTTAAAATATGATTCTATCGCTACATAAGAGTTCTCATGTTTCAAAAACAGAAACTAAAAATTTCAATTTAATTTTAGAAATTAAATTAAAGTACCTAGTTCTGTTTCATCCTCAAGCAAATTTTGGAATATAAGCTCTACTTGTGTATTGAGCACTGTTTTTTAAAAATAAAACAAGAATAAAAGAACCTCAGATTATTAACCTAACAATTCTTTCCTATTTTTCTATATATTTGCACACACACACATGCACACTATATATATATATATATATATATATATATATATATATATATATATATATATATATATATATGCATGCTCTCACACACACACACACACACACATATATATTTATATACATATAAATAATAATAAAAGAAAAATTTTTCATTATCAACCTGTTTTGTTCTCTGATGGACTTTATCAAGGCATATATAAGGATTTTATCTTGAAACATGTAATTAATCCTAGCACTTACCGAGATACATATAATTATATATATACATATATACATATAATTAAAGACAAAAGAAAAATTTTTCTTTACTGATGTGTTTTGTCCTCTGATGGACTTTAAGGCAAATATAAGGATATTATTTTTGCAGAAATAAGAATATCATTAGATTTTCAAAATTATTAAGTTTAAGAACGCACATAAATATTCATCAGGCTAACAGTGAAAATCAAGGTAAACGATGGAGGATGCTAAGTAATGTAATTTAATGTCTCCATAGGCTGAAAGGTAAGTTGTGGAGAGCCATGACTGTCCACATCATGAAAGAAGAAGAGTGAAGATCTGAAGAAAGATGCTGAAGGATTTTTAAGATACTTGGTGTCACTTGGTTTTTTGCATAAATTGTCTACTGACGATGATGATTAACTGGTTACATGATTGCCAAGACATTTTAATTATTTAATAAAAATATAAAACTATATAAATGGCTGTTTGTTTAGCATTATAGCTCTCATTTAAAAATATCCACACTGACTTACGTGCAGGTTAGAGATTTTAATCTGAGTATAATCTGTTGCGTGTTATTGTTCGAATATCACTTAATAATTTTAGAAGAAACTACTTGGAAATGCCAGGCTTCTTTTTGAAATGAGCAAGATCACATCTAAGTCTAAATATGCTGCCACTGACCCATATTGTGCAGATTCATTTAAAAACTGAACGAGAGAGAGAGGGGAGAGCGGGGTGGGGAGATAGTAGAGATATGAAGAGAAAGCGAGTGAGTAAGTGAATGGAGAGATAAAGAGAACGTTATTTGAAATAAAAATATGCCTCTGTTGATAGGGAAAAGTGCAAATAGCTAATAGAGTGCAAGACACAAAGCACTGAGCAGAATATTAGACACGGATAAAAAGCAATTGCTTTTTACGGCCGTCTATCAGGAATGAGTAAAGGCAGTTTGATTTCATTTTTAGGCGAGAAGACGGGAAGGAAAGAAGATGGAAGATTGAACGAATATTTCATTCATTCGTTCACTTTTCTTCTTGTTCATTCATTTGTTCATTCATTCATAGATGTGGGATGCGTTGCAATGGGGGGGGGTAAGAAGATTCAAGTTGGTGTGTTTTGGGCCCTACTCTAAGAGTACAGTTGCACGTGGTAGATATACTTGCAGGTTTAGCAGGGTGGTAAAGAAGAGGACGAAAGTACAATGGTTCCATCTCAAACACAAAGCTGATTTATATATTTTGTTTCTTTTTCAATAAATGAACCTGGTAAATAATACTAATAATAATAATAATAATATAATGAGATTCATTTTTGTAAATGTCTAAGATACAAAATTATGTATAGATAGATAGATAGATAGATAGATAGATAGATAGAACTAGAAGAGTCTGAAATAGATAGATAGATAGATAGATAGATAGAACTAGAAGAGTCTGAAATAGATAGATAGATAGATAGATAGATAGATAGAACTAGAAGAGTCTGAAATAGATAGATAGATAGATAGATAGATAGAACTAGAAGAGTCTGAAATAGATAGATAGATAGATAGATAGATAGATAGATAGATAGATAGAACTAGAAGAGTCTGAAATAGATAGATAGATAGATAGATAGATAGATAGATAGATAGATAGATAGATAGATTCAGACTCCTGAATGGGCATCTAGGTCATAAGCAAGTTCATCTAATTCTATTCTTATTAAAGCATATTTTTATAAAGCAATGATATCGATTGAAATTGAATAGAATAAGTATATAAAATATCACAAATTAAATATGTTTGAAGTTCCACATTAAGCCTTACTGGATGATTTTTATTTTACAAGGCAATTTTTAAGCAATCAGAAAAAGATAAGAGGTAGTGGGCCAATTTCATGCTTAAAAACTTTACTGATCAGTTTATAAAAGTTAAAAATATAATTCAAGTCTACAAGTAAAATTTCAAGAAAAATGATCCATTATTTCCTGACCTTTGAATTTTTATATAAACTGATTCATCTGCACAGTATTACATTGAAAATTGAATGCCTACAACTGATATGAAACTACATAGAAAAGTGCATATTGGTGATATATATATATATATATATATATATATATATATATATATATATATATATATATATATATATATTTATCAGTGAATGGAAGCACACAAAGAACAGAATTATATACCAGTCAAAATCTACACCTATCCCAAGCACATGTGTCCTAATACCTAGGATCCAATACAATGCACCATAACATCAAAGGAGGAAGGCTTAAGGCCATATTACATTGAAGCATCAGTTCTCATACAATCACCAGAGTTAAGCAATGTCAAGCCTGGTTAGTATTTAGATGGGTGATTGCTTGAGAATACTAAGTGCTGTAAGCTTGAATGTGAAGGTAGTGTAATGGCTAATGACTTAGAATAGAAAATCATTGAGCCAAGTTCAAATTCCAGTCGGGTTTGTTATATCCACTTATATGCAAATAAACTTGGGAAAGGTATGAATCCATCTCTTCTCCCCCTAGCTATGGGTTAATTAGTAGGACTTGTATCAATAAATCATTATTATTTCCCAAAAATTCTTAAAATCTAAAAATATTTCCTGGACTTAAATAACCTGCAAAGGGTTGATAAGCCATAAAAAACAAATCAATCAATCAATCTTAGGGAGCAAAATCAACTCTAGTGCATCTTTAGATGAGGAAATATTAAATAGGATCACCACATCTAGTGACGTTTTCGAAAAGTTGCAACCAAAGATATGGAATATGAGAGGAATGTGTTTGAAAATCCAAATTTCAGTTTACTGTGTGGTTGTTACCCTAATGATGCTGCATCAGTCAGAATCAGGAAGACTGTAAAGAAAGCATATCATACAGCAAGATACTTTCCACGAGAGATGTCTTAGAAATATCTGCAATTTCACATGGAAAGACAAAGTTTTAAAAAGAGCAGTTGTTTGATAAATATGATATATGAAGTATACAAGCATTCATGGTGCAGCCTCAATTAAGATGAGCTCATCATGTTGTTAGGATGAATGATGAAAATCTGCTGACATTTTTCACTAATGGGCAGCTTTCGGGTCAGGATGTGAAATATAGGAAACTTCTTCTTAGATAGAAAGATAAACTGAAAGATAATATCAAACATATTGGAATAAAACCCTCAAAGTTTGAAGAGTACATTGTAGACTGTAATGTGCAGAGTATGGGTTATCTCCACATAGCTTTGCCAGTTTGCCAAGAGGTCACCAGGTGGCAGTGGCAAGCAACTATAAAAACTAGACATTCCCTGTTTTCATCCTCTTCTTTCTCTTTTCCACCCAGCATGCTTTAGTGACAACACCAATGGGAACTTTCCCAGGCAAGAGAATATCTTTGCCCTTAGTGACTGAACTCTTCACACACACGCACACATGTGTGTGTATCAACCACATAATTTCTAACTTTTAATGTCTTCTTACTTTTGCATGTATACTACTGTATTTTTTCCTTTTCTTTTACTCAGTTATATAAAAACTGTGGGCACATGGCCAAGTGGTTAGAATGTTCACTTTCTGACCATAAGACCTGTGTTTGAATCTCACCATAGCTGATTTGTCAGAAAGGTGACTTCTTGATGTTACCAATCTGGGGGAGGCAATCCTAGCATATGACACCTTTGAAAAGTGCCTGAAAACCATACCACGGATTGAGCCAACTGAGGCTCTGAGTATGCTGGCCTTGTTCAGACTGTTGATCATGCAAAAATAACGCACTCCCTCCCAGAAACTGTAAGTAAGGTTCGTTCAGCATAGTTGCAGTATAAACCACAGGTGGGTGAGCTCTGTGGGCATTTAACAAATACAAATGTGGCTGAGCAGGTATCTGCAATAGAGATTAGGCTAGCTGCCCAAGTAGACAAGCATCCTCAGATATGATTAGGCTAGCTGCACTAGTAGACAAGCTATTATATATATATATATATATATCAGTAAAAACTTTAACTTATTGATTTGAGCAATCTTGAAAAGTACAGATTACACTTATGCAAAGAAGATAATTCAAGGAAGAGCTGAAATTCTACTTTTATGTGCTATATTCCTTTAAGATGTGGTCGATCATGGCTCTCCACAACTTCCTGTGCTTTGTAGCTCTAATCAGTGTGTGCCCTCTTACTATACCTTCCAGTCCCTGTTATGCTATTCATTTACACAAGTTAATTGGGTAGGTTACTCTGTTTCCTTTTGTCTCTCTTGCTTTCAATATGTCCTGTGAATATCAAATTCTCCAAGCCATTTTTACTCATTATATATCCTTGAAATTTTAACTCTCTCTTTCTAAGTACACATAAATACAAATCCATAAAAAGCAAAAGAAATCACTAGTAACTTGTATCAACAGAATTTGATGAATTCATATAAAGATGCACAGAGTACTTATCTCCTAGATAAATGCATTTGAACCAAGGAGGTACCTATAAATTAGAATTGCCTTGATTTGGACAAATTAATCAATATTTCTCAATATATATATATATATATATATATATATATATATATATATATATATATATATATAAATATATTTTTGTACTAGCACAAAGCCACAAGTCATCATGACTTTGGGTTTGAGCCTGCTGGATTGTTCTGACTGCTGATCATGCAAAATAACGCACTCTCTCCCAGAAACTAAGGTTTGTTCAGCATATAGTTGCAGTATAAACCACAGGTAGGCTCTGTGGGTGTTGAACAAATACAAATGTGCCTGAGCAGGTATCTGCAATAGTGATTAGGCTAGCTGCCCTAGTAGACAGGCATCCTCAGATATGAGTGGCCAGCCATTATTATTGTAAAAAACAAAAATATCAGATATCGCCATGTTGAAATTCATTCCAATTCCTTACACCCATCATTTATATATGGAAAAATATTGTTGCTACTGTTTTAGTCGCACTTGGATCAGTGCTGCAACAAGAGAAAAACATGCCAAAATGACATTTGAAGACACATCTATAGAAGGATTTAGCATTTCAATAATCTAAGGCAAGTTCAGAAGAATATTGTCTCTGTTCAACATTTAGTGTTTGAAAGATACAGTGTGGTCTGCAAAAGCAATGCCACGTTTTGCAGAAGACACAGACTCTAAAGTGTGTAGTGCAAATTTTATATATACCTCATGAAATTGGTACGAACCTGAAGCACATTCGTTTTCTGTGTAGTTTCATATCAGTTGTAGGCATTCCATTTTCAATATAATACTGTGCAGATGAATCAGTTTATATAAAAATTCAAGCTGAACTGCTTTTTGGTTAAAGTAGTTGTTTCCTCCATTGTTTTCAGTGGTTGGCTTTCACAATAACAAATAGGTTTTCACTAACAATATTTTTTGTCACTTTTTCCAGTTACGACATCACAAAATATAATACAGCTGAACAGAGAAGAATGCAAAACAGATTTGACAAACCTATCATTTAAGCTCTAAGAATGTGACCTTGTACCAGACTAAGTTAATTTTCAGTACCAAGGAGGTACCTAAGAATTGCCTTGATTTGGACAAATTAATTAATATTTCTCAATATATATATATATATATATATATATATATATATATATTACGACAAATGTGCAATCAATTTACAAATTCATGAATTATTCACACAAAAACAAATGCAAAGGTTAATGATTTAATTGGCTTAGAAATCCATCGTCGCATAAACAATTCAAATAATATACAAAAACCTCCGAATCCGTTATGAATGAAAAGATCCTTGTTTCTATAAATTTCTGTCAGATAGTTCTTATTTTTACTACAAGCTTTCGTCTGTTCCTACAGACATCTTCAGGTATGGAATAGATGTTGTTCTTGTTTTTTCTCTTAGTAATAAGAGGACAACGAAAATATATGTATTGTTGTATCCGAAAATGCTATTGGAAATGAGTTATTGTTTTTGGAGCGTAGTAGCAATGCTGAGTTTGATTTTAAATTTTTTACAGTTTGCGTTCATGTACAAATATGGTGATGAACGAATTTTTTACTGGTAAATTTTCTGTCAATATATATATTGTACTAGCACAAAGTCACAAGTCATCGTGACTTTGGAGGTACCTTAGAATTGCCTTGATTTGGACAAATTAATCAATATTTCTCAATATATATATATATATATATATATATATGAGATCGTTTAATTTGTATTAAAATATTTATTAAAATATATGACTTAAGTAATTAATGGCTGTGTGCTCTTGTCTGAGTACACCTGTCTGCTGGGATATCTAGCTAATACTTGCTGAGGACCATTGCTCAGGCCCATTTGTGTTTCTTCAACACTCACAGAACCATTTTGTGGCTTATATTGCAACTTTGCTGAGTAGACCTTAATTACTATTTAAAGAAGAGAGTGCATAATCTGGTATGATCAGTAGTTGAACAAGGAAAGCATGCTCAAACCCTCAATCATGATGACTTGTGACTTTGGGCTAGAACAATCACTGATTGCTTGCAAACAGTTTTATCTACTTCTATTCATCCACAAGGATTGGGTCAACCTGTGGTGTATTTTTTCAAGCATTTTCCAACAATGATTGACTCCCTGGGTGTATTTTTTCTAGAAGTAATCTCCACCTGACAAATTAACCATAATGAGATTCAAACATACTAATGTTCTCACCACTCAGCCATGAAACAAAATGGCTGCATTTCAAAGTATTGCATTCATTGCATATTTGATTTGATTGGTTGATTTTATGTAATGTCAACCCTTTTTGGATTACTTCATGTCAAGTTTTGTATGGGGTACAAAGTGAGGATTGAAGTCACTACTCAATAGCAATGGTCAACCAAACTAGCCATGTTAACTATTACTCTATACTAAGGTACCTTTTGCACATTTGTGTGTGTTTGTGTGTGTGTGTGTGTGTATATATAGAGAGAGAGAGGGAGAGAGAGTGCATATATATATATATATAGAGAGAGAGAGAGTGAGAGACAGAGAGAGAGAGGGTGTGATGTGTAAATTGTCAATATTTTATATATTTAATTTTGTGCATGTGTGTTGTTTGTTGTTGATTTTGTTGATTGCACAGTAGAGTCAGTTGGACACTGTCTGTGAGAAAATGAGCACCATGATGCACAGACAAAAGGAAAACTTATTTTTGGATATTAATAATTGTATATTTTTGTTTTTCATGTTGAAAATGTGAAAAATTTCAGATAGAGTTTATCTGTAAAGGACAATATGACTAAAGACAAAAGGAAAGCTTATCACTTATCTTCAGATATTAATAATTGTTTGTATGTCAATGTTGTTTTTTCACATTGTTGACATGGAAAGCAAAAACATACACATACAAACTGTTATTATTATGCAAAGATAATTTCCCCTTTTGTCTTTATTCGT